GACCTGGTTTCACCTGGTGGGTAATGCAAAAAGATGGGGAGACACGTGTATCGGCGGAGGGGCATGAACATAATGCTCACAGATCAATATGACCGGCAATATGTCAGCTTTATTAGAGAAAAGACAGCTTATATACTGCTTATGACACACAGACATGTGATTCTTCTCCAGGTTACGTTGGATACATAAGGAAAACATACTGCGTTGTACAGTACTAATTGGACCACAGCAGGTGTCCATAAAATTTGTTTACCTGCCAAAAGAACTCCTCCTTCACCTTGGCACAAGGCCTGCAGCCATATTAGTGGCGCAGTATTTTTTACTATCTGCACCCAGCCATGCCAAGGCAAAGGTCACAGAAATGCAATAGAAATTGTTCACACAATTTCTGTATACCGACAAATCCCCCATTGAATTTTGAACAATTTAAATTGCATTTCTGTAACATTCCTTATTGTACCCATAACATTGCAATAAACACAAAGATGCAATAATACTATTATCATTAATAAACTTAATAACCTATTGACCCTAAGACATGTGCTCTCAAAGTGTGCTTAAAAGTGCTTCTCTAAATGTAGGGTTGGGACCCCTGGTGGCCTAGTGGTTAGGATGCGGCACTCTCACCGCTGCGACCCAGGTTCGATTCCCCGGTCCCCCGGGCAGATGGAACTCGTTAGCCCTGTGAGGCCATCCATCTATGAGAAGGTCACTCTAAACAAACCTACGCCCTGAGGACCTCACTGCCATTGTCCAAGCTTGCTTGGCCCCGGCAGATGAACCTTAGGATTAAAGGGTGGGCTCAGTTCAGCGCATGCTGTGTCTCACCTAAAAAATCCATTGCGCAGGCTGGAAAGGTAAAAGACCTTTCCCCAAATCTTCGTTCGCGAAGACTGGCCATTATTATCATTAAATGTAGGGTTTGTTCCTAAACATTTTATTCAGTCTAAAAGTGTCCTCTATTTTAATGTAAATGTATTTGTGTATTTGTTCATCCAAAAGTGTTTGTGTATTTGTTATCAGAACACAGTAATCATCATGCAGTCACACACATACACACATACAAACTTTCACAGTGGCTACTGTCAACACACTTTCACACAAACATACTGTTGAATTCCATGCCATTGTGTTTTAAACTTTCTTTTACTAACATGTAGTGAATAATCTAAGATCTTTACCTTCTATAATTATGTGCTTGAGTATACTAAAAAAAATTGTGCTTTAATAAGACTGAAAATTCTGTGCTGTGATAATACTAAAATGTGCTCTTAATGATGCTGACAAAACTGTTATATACAACACCTTCTAACAGTGCTAACATTGCCTACAGCACTGTTAGTCCTGATCTGAAGAATCAGCTTCTTTCCAGGGCTTAATCCATCCAGTCGGTATCCATCGAACACCTGTGTCTGTTAGGATACAAGCATAGCCTCTTCCAGTCATCTTCACTTCTGCAGGCCCTTTCCATTCCCCTGTTTGTGGATCCTTATATTGTACCTTAACTACTACCTGCTGACTTACCAGGCCCGACTGCAAGGAAGTGTTATGAATAACAATGGGAGGGTCTGTTCTAGTACCCGTCAGCCGCAAAAAATTCAGCACATATAACACTTTTGCAAGTCAGTCATGTGGACTGGCTAGCTCTTCTCCCCCTCTCTGTTTTTGCAAAAGTGACTTCAGAACTCCATGAGCTTGTTCAATGATAGTTTGACCTGTAGGAGAATGAGCAATACCAGTAACGAGAAATACCCCAATTCATACAGAACCTTTGGAAACGTTGTGAGGTATAACCGGGTCCATTGTCAGTCTTAAGTTCCGTGGGGATCCCTAGGGCCGCTATGCATGCATACATATGTCGAATGACATATCTGGTACTTTCTCCAGCCTGAGCAGAGGCCCACATGGCATGAGAAAAGGTATCAATGCATACATGCACATATTTTAACCTCCCAAATTCTGCAACATGAGTAACATCCATTTGCCAAAGCTGCAATGCTTGTAGCCCCCGAGGATTAACTCCTAAGCCAATGCCCAGTCCGTTCCTATGACAGGCTGAACAGGCCTGCACAATTCCTCGTGGTCCGATGAAGTGAGCCCAAACTGCCGGACTAATACATCAGCAGACTGATGAAAAAAGTCATGGGACAGGACTGCTTGCTGAAACTTATTTACTGCAGGACCAGTCTGTGCAGGTGCCACTAATTTATCTGCTCTGTTATTCCCAATTGCTAAACCACCATCTAGCTTCTGATGGCTTCTTATGTGAGTGACGAAATAGGGCTGTGTTCGCTGATCTAGCAAATGCAGCAACTGTGTCATAAGTGCTGCTAAGATTTTATTTTTCAGGGTTTTGATCATTGCTCACTTGATTCATTGCACTGTACCTACTACATAAAGTGAATCTGAAACCACATTAACAGGTTCTTCCTTCCAGAAGTTTAAGACCCACACCACACCCCTCAATTCAAGGGTTTGTAATGTGTCTCCTGGAACACCTGGAAGTATTTTATGTTTCCATTCTGCTCCCTTCTGCCAAGTAATTGCCGCACGCCGAGATTTTCTACCGGGGTCTGTAAAAACAGTAATCCCAGCAACTGGGTCATCTGAACGCAACACAAGCTGCTCAATTGTCTGATGTTGCAGCAGAGGCAACAATTTTTCTGATGGATAATGATTGGTGACCAGACCTTCAAAGTCTGCCATGGCTATCTGGAATGGTTCTGATTTCTCAAGCAACCATTCCAAATACTTTTGGGCGACTGGTACAAATATTACCGATGGATCTCCGCCAATTAAATCACAAACTCTCCGTCGCCCTTTTATGACAAGTTGTGCAAACAATTCAGGTCGTGTTATGATTGTCTTTTTGGGTTGATATGGTAAAAATACCCATTCTAAAATTCTTACACTGGTTGCGATTTGACAGATGATGCCCAATGGATGTTTTCTGCTCTCTCCAGAATTAACAAGTAGGTACTGCACTGGCTGGTCTTCAATTATTCTACAAGCATATCCTACAGCTATTTTTCCTGAGATATTAACTATAGCTGCTTTTTGGTCTTCTGACAATTCTCTTGGGAGTCCTGCCTGAGCAACTGATCCTAACAAAGGCATCAGAGGAGTTAGATCATCATTGGTTATTCCACACACAGGTCTGACCCACTGTATGTCACCCATCAGCTTCTGCACATCAGTCAAAGTCTTTATGGCAGTATTAATGACTAATTTCTGTGACCTCACTATACCATTCGTGATGGTCCAACCCAGGTATTGCCATGGCTCCTGCTTCTGAATCTTTTCAGGGGCAATTTTGAGGCCTTGTCGACCCAACTCTTGTTCTAATTGCTGTAACAGCACAGGCACATTCAGACTTTTTCCTGCTATCAGAATATCATCCATGTAATGATATACTAATAAATCAGGATGTTGGGTTCGAAATGACTGCAAGGCCCATGCAACATAAACTTGACACATAGTGGGTGAATTTTTCATCCCCTGAGGAAGAGTTACCCAATGAAAACGCTGTGCTGGTGCTGCTTTGTTAACTGAAGGCACTGTGAAGGCAAACCTGACAGCATCGTCTGGATGCAAAAGGATTGTGAAAAAACAGTCCTTTAAATCTATCACCAGTATGACCCAATCATGGGGGATCATCATAGGAGAAGGCAGACCAGGTTGTAAAGGTCCCATATCTTCCATGACCGCGTTGACAGCTCGCAGATCATGTAATAATCTCCATTTTCCTGATTTCTTTGTGTAGCAATAAACCTGCATTATATGGGAAAACTGTGGTTTAAGCATGTTTTAAAATGGCTTTTTTGTAGTCTCTTTGCTAACTCATGTTCTTCTTCCCAAAATCCCCCATGGTTAGTTCTTATCTCTGTCTCAGGAATGTCCTGAGAAGATATCAAGAAGTCTTCTCATTGGACCTTGTTAACCCCTTCCTTATTTGGCTGTTAACACCCTACCTGATTGGTTTTTTGTAAGACCCCTTACCTTAAATGGTCCCCTTTGACCCTCCCAAGAGCTTTATAAACCCCTACCCCACAATAAACTCTCTCTCTGGCCTCCTCTCCAAGTCCCGTGTGTTGTCTGTGGTTGCCACGGGACCTCGTGGTAGGGGGGAGGGGGAGCAGCTCTCCCCTCCATGTGTCCAGGACCCGAAGAAACCCCTGGAGCTGGAGTAACCCCTTCCCTATCCACCTCAGCCATCGGAAATGGTTCCTCAGATGGAAATGGAACTAGGACTGGTGCTGCCCCACATCATGGGAGGGGAGAGAGATCCAGATCTTTGGAATAGCAAATATGGGAGTGTTTCATGGACTCGTAGATGGAACAATATGTCCTGCATCCAATTGCTCCTGAACTAATTGTTGAACTATTTGCAGCCTCTCCTTTTTCAGCGACCACTGATCTATCCATACTGGTTTTTCTGTTTTCCACTGCAGTTTTAAGGTCGGCTGCCTATCAATGGCCGCTCCTGAAAAGGAGAAGTAACCAGATGTGCTCCCATTTGCCCCAACAGATCTCGACCTATCAGGCCTACGGGTAGAGATAGCACATAAGGACGCGTTCCCACTATTGCTCCATCAGAAAACGGAAAAGTTATCACATCCTTGCTGATCCATGTCTGCTGTACACTGCCTACTCCCTTAACTCCGGTAGGTGCCATTTCCACAGGCCATGCTTGAGGCCATTTATGCTTAGGAATAATTGAAATGTCAGCCCCAGTGTCAAGAAGCATAGTCATAGTGCTGGACTGTCCATTAGGATGCCGTATAATTACATCTTCCTCGGGTTTTCCCTGCTTTATGTCTACTGCTAACATCACCTCAGGGGGGCCTGTTGAGCCAAACCCCCCATCTCCTTGTGTCAGTGGTTCTGCATTAGGCACTTCTGCTTTAAAAGGCACTAACTGAGCTATTTTACTGTTAGCAGGAATAAAAACTGGTGGTGTTAAAGTATATACCATAATTTTGATTACACCTGTAGCATCTGCATCTATGACTCCTGGCACTACAAAAATTCCCTGGCGAGACAAAGATGAACGTCCTAACAAAAGAGCACTCAATCCTCTACCTAAAGGTCCTTGCAATGTAGAATCAATCAAGTGCACATTTGGAGTCTCAAGCATAGTATCTACTGCTGTTGCCAAGTCCACGCCGGCACTTCCTGCGGTGGCTGCACAGCAGTGTTCCAAGCACCCTGATTTGCTGTCATGGCGTGAGAGTGCATCGCGCTCCGTTTGGGGTTTCCCTGCCGTTTACACTCATTTGTGTTATGGTTATCCATTTGACAGTTATTACACCACCTTGACCCTCCTGCTGTTATTGCCGGGCGAGCAGTCCTTGGCAAAGGAAATGCTCAACACTGGGTACTGAAATGTCCCTTCTGACCACAAGCAAAACACCTTATTTCTTTGCGTTTCTTACCATTCCTTCCTTTCCCAGACATAATAGGCTTTACTACTGCACCTACTGCAGTAGTCAGATAGGCTGCGTCCTCCTGTTTAAGCATTCTGTTTGCAGCCTCCAGGAGTTGAGCTGCGCCAGTACCCCTAGGCAGTGTGTTTAAAACCTGTTTGGTTTTATCATTGGCGTTATCATAGGCCAACATATCGATAAATTTTGCCTTCATGTCACTGTCCATGTCTGGATCTGTATTTACTGACTGATATAAACGATCTATAAACAGATTATATGGCTCATTGGGCCCCTGTTTGATCATAGTACATGGGGGCCCTGACCTTGCATCCCTCACTGCAAGCAAGGACCTGTAGGCTAGGTCTTGGCTAGTTCGTAGTACCTCATCTGGAAACTGTGCTTGTATATCTGTTGTGTTGTACTGACCAATACCCATGAGCACGTCAGCCATAACGCCATGGAGAGGGTGACCTTGCTGCCTAGGCTGTGCTGTAGCTGCTGCACAGCTAGCATTCCATTTATTAAAAAATTGAAGCTGCTGAGAAGGAGTCACATAATTTGAATCCTGCCACAAATGCCCCCTTTTTAAGTTTTGAACAATTTAAATTGCATTTCTGTAATATTTTTTATTGTACCCATAATATTTTAATAAACACATCTACATACATACTTTGGCTCTCTTAGAGAGATCGTATAGTTGAGGAGCTTTTCCACAGCCTCTTCCTCTTTGGATAGGGTGGGCCCCATTTCTCCTCCCACAGTCGACTCACCTGGACAAGGCAAGATTTCTCTGTACCACGCGCGTGGCTTTACATTCGTGGCGCCGGGGAAAACGCCACCTCCAACGGCTGCTTCCCTCAACTCCTGCCATTTGCCTTACGTCCCGTAGAAGTCCCTGTTCATCGGGCACCAGTTATCGGCACAGGGGCATGAACATAATGCTCACAGATCAATATGACCAGCAATATGTCAGCTTTATTAGAGAAAAGACAGCTTATATACTGCTTATGACACACAGACATGATTCCTCTCCAGGTTACGTTGGATACATAAGGAAAACATACTGCGTTGTACAGTACTAATTGGACCACAGCAGGTGTCCATAAAGTTTGTTTACCTGCCAAAAGAACTCCTCCTTCACCTTGGCACAAGGCCTGCAGCCATATTAGTGGCGCAGTATTTTTTACTATCTGCACCCAGCCATGCCAAGGCAAAGGTCACAGAAATGCAATAGAAATTGTTCACACAATTTCTGTATACCAGCAGTTATGTACCACAAGGGGACCTAATTTTGAGTGAGAATGGTCTGTAATGTTTCATTGTATATATATATATATAGATGTATATAGTTTTAAAGGGATATAGTTTTTAAAGGGAGTTAATTTGGGCATGACATGAATGGCATAGAATAAGGGGTGGATAAATGTCCTAGTTAGAACAGCTGGGACCAGTTCATCACTGTATGGGTGTAACCCAAAACTGTGTATTCTATAGCCTTCCATGCCATTTCCCAGAAACTGGTATCAATAGACTATTTACACCTTCTGCCCAGAGCAGTCTGACTTCTCAGGCTATAAACTAGGTGTTAAGAGGCCTGCAAGATAAGAGGGTGCCTCCCTGTCCTCACACTCTTTTGTGGAACTCCCCGCCCTGAGGGAAGTACTGAGCATTCCTGCCTGAACTGAAGAATATATAATCTTGGAGTCTTGGAACTTTTGGAACCACTCGTGGGATCCAGAGGAAGACTGCAGACCACCACTTTCAACCAGACTGAGACCACCACTCTCGACCGGACTGCAATCACCACCCTTGACCAGACTGCAACAGCACTCTCACCAACAGGTTTTCCCCTCCTCTTACTTTGGACTCAGGGGGTCCAACGAACACCACTCTGTTCATGCCCCAGGGTGCTGGGTTATGCATTTGGGTTTTGTGGGTTAAAACCAATTGTTTGTCTGTATAATTGTACTTATTGTATTATTTTATTAAATTGTTATTCTGGTTTATAATCTCTCTTTTGAGTTGAGTTCATTTCCCCTGCTGGTTTACCTTTAAACCAGCACACTGTGTTACCACTCAGGGAGGGATACAAGTACATACTGGTACTGTTTGACACATTCAGTGGATGGCCTGAAGCTTACCCCTGTCGCACTAACACAGCAAGGGAAGTGGTAAAAGCTTTGCTTAACCACATAATTCCAAGGTTTGGAGTTCCTCTAGGAATGTCATCAGATTGAGGGACACACTTTATTGCAACAGTAGTGAAGGAGGTTTGTCACGTCCTGGGAATTGTTTGGGACTTGCATACTCCCTATAGACCTCAGGCAAGCGGCAAAGTAGAACGTATGAATGGTACTCTTAAAATGCAAATTGGTAACATTTGTCAGGAAACATCCATGTCATGGGTTCAGGCTTTGCCTCTAGCTGTTGAGAATTTGCATCCAACCAAGGTGGAGAGATAACGTAAGTCCTTATGAAATATTGTATGGAAGACCATATCAAGCTCCGCATATTCCAGGGGACATTCACATGAGAAGGAAAATTGATTTACAAAAGTATTTAATTGTCGCAACGCGGGAAGAATGAGACGCTCAATATGAGAATCAGCAAGCTTCAATTTATTATTTAAATAAGTTAACTTTTATACAATTTAGTTTGTTTTGGGCACATGCTTACAACAAGGTGATTGGATAGCTCAGTCTGTACACGCGTCTCATGTCTCCAGTTCATTGGACCTGATGTCCTGTCCATGCGATCTGAAGTCATACTTGGCATGTAGAGGTCTTCATAATTAGGGGCTTTCTGAAATTTGCAGGTGTACCTTTATCTCTAGTTTCTCAAGGCTTTCTTACTATAAACACACTATGTTCTCAAACCTTATAACTAGACACACAGCTAACAAGTATAAACATTGCATATTTTCACACAGTCTATAAGCATAAACATTACAGCTTACAACTTCTAGTCATGTCAAGCAAGGCCTACAGAAATGCAATTGAAATTGTTCACATAATTTGAATCCTGCCACATTTAATGGTCCTAGGCTCTACTTTACAGAAACTCCAGAGATTCATCAAGTTATCCAGACCCATAGGATTGGACACCCCTGCTCATCAATTCCAGCCTGGAGACTATGTTAAATGGTGGGACAGTGATCCACTGCAAGCCAAGTGGAGAGGACCATTCCAAGTCCTGCTGACTTCCCTCACTGCAGTCAAAGTTGCTGGCAAAGGACCTTGGTTTCATTACTCCAGAGTTAAGAAGGCTTCAGTTCCTGGAACAACTAGAAAATCAGAGCCTGACACCAATGAAGAGGATGTGGCTTAGACTGTTTCTTCCGTACATATTATCTGTACAGTCGGTAACTATGATTCAGGTTTAGAACCAAAATTTGCATCTGGCTTTAGTAAAAATGTATCCAATATTCTTCATGAAAATGAGTGCTGTATTTGCACTATGAATTTGGCTGAAAGTTTAAATTCTACATTGGGCTTTGGAGACATCCTCCACAAACTTACTTCATGGTTACCGAACTGGACCTGGATAAAACAACTGTTTATATCGCTGATGTACATAGTGTTTGTGTAATAGCTCATCGCATGACCTGATGCTGCAGGTGTTGGTCATCCCTTTGGTATAATGCTAGGTCTAAGTGGTAGAGATTGGACAAGATTGAGTTTTGTCCATCTCTAAAGGGGGGACTGATGCCTCAGAGCTTTCTGGATTTTTTAACTTTTGTAGATTTTAGAAGCAGTTGTGTAGTAAATGTAGATTTTAATGTAGCTGTATTATATCCCTTACCCTTTAACATAGCAGTTTACACATACCCAACCCTATTACCCTATTTCATATCAATACCCTAAATTCCATTAGCATGTTTAGTCTTGTTTTCAAGGTAGAATTGTAGAAAAACACCTCTGTTTAAGTACATCTCACCCTAGGCTTGGACCAGAAGATATCATGCAGACAAAGCAACCTTCAAGCCCAGAAGGAGCTCCAAGGACTGTACATACTGTGAAGAAGACGAAGATGAGGAAGAAGGGGTCCCAAATGCCCCCAGACTCAATTCCCGAAAGGACGTGCCAGGGGGGCAGAACTGGGCAGAGCCGGGGGGTGGATAGATCTGGGATTGGATGGACCTTATTATAAAATCATAGAAGCATGTGTATTCCCCTGGGCCTGAGGTCTGATTAAAGGACCCACTCTCTTTATCTTATACACTAAATTGGCCTGGAGTCTTTTTCTCCTCGGTCTCTTTAGGCTACAAAGCACACAGCTGCTGAAATTCAAAATTTCAGTTGTGAATTGCTACCTTTCTTCCATGACATTACCAAGAAAGTACAGAAGATGGCAGTAAAACACTTTGAGCCAGCAAAGACTGAGGCTTATCCTGATGTACTGTACCATTTCCCTCTATTTCCCCGTTATTTCAGTTTGCAGTATATCATTGCTCAGTTCCTGTTACTGGAAAAATATTTGCAAGGCTTTGAGACAGAAAATGAATTATCCTGCTTGTTTCATTGTTTTGGTGGGTCTGGTTCAAAATGCCAAACTTTTGGCAAGAGTTCAGATCCAAACTTAGGAGTTTGTGCAGTGACTTGAGGTTTGCTTTCTCTGTTCACCCAAAAATCACTTCCCAAATACTAGCTGCTTATGATTTTTTTTTAAGTTGGTTTCCTAAGAAAGATATATGCTGTCATGTTCTATCTTGTTTTCCCAAGAACTTTTGACTTCATTGGCAGATTTTAACTAAAATTGCAGATCAGGAGCAATACTAAAGATACAAGCTTTATGAAAGTAGGTGGCTAAACAGAGAAGGGAGACTGAGAAAGAACGGTGACCAAGGAGCTCGTAACTTTACTTTTACTAGATATCTCTTAACAGGTTCTAAACTTATGTGTAAAGAATAATTTGGGGGCCTTTGTCATAATAAAGTACCTTGCTCATAAGAACACCAAGTAAGGCTTGGATGGGTCATAGCATGTAGTCCAGGCTGTGTTAGCATATCACTTTTTTCTATCTCATTCTATGAAGTTGATTGATAAATGTTTTTGATACCACCCTCCCCAAATGTTACTTCATTTGCATATGGGCTAATTTATGTAAGCTTACACCTAGGTACCAACACATAATGTAGTTAGTTAATTTTTGAAGATCAATTGCTGAATTATTGGGTTTTTTGCTAGATTTTTTTGGTTCATTTTACAGACAACTGATGGTAGAATGTGGCACCGAAAGAGTTTTTGCCCCTGCCCCACACACACTTGAGTCCTAAATGCTCATTATTTCTAAATATATTCCTTCTTTTAGGTTTCTTGTAAATCATGCAGACTGCTTCACAGCAGTAAGCAGGCTATACATCTCAAGCTGCAGTTGCTTATGATGCTACAAAGTATAATTCATGTCTCCTTGCTACCAGGGTAAAGTACTATTTAAAAGTGGACAGAAATGTTAACAGGTTTCAGCTCTGGGCTATTGATGTACTCCTTATGAAGTGGATCACCTGAGGTACTAACAGTCTTCATCATCAGTAGACACAGGCAGTTTTGGAAAGGTGAGATCATGATGGTGTTTGGATTGCTCCTGAATGTAGAGTTGTCAAGGAAATGGGGTTCAACTGCTGCTTCTAGCTCTTTTTTTTAACTCTGTATCAGATCTTGCCTTTTTTGATTGTTTAATAAAACACAGAAGGGGCATGTAACATCTTTTAGACATATGTGTATATTTACATATATAAATATGCACCCATGGGATACAAATTTTCTTTTCCAATGTCTCCAACTCTCCCTTTTATGGGGCAAATATATAATGAATTTATGTGTAGCATATGAAGATCTAGTTAAACATAGGATGTTGTCAGCTGTTGAAGAACAGAATCCCAGCTGCACTTGAGTCCAGTTTCGTTGATAGCGACTCTATTGGCATTAAAATGTTTCTCATGGTCCTTTTGAGTTGCATTCTCTTCTTAGCTGGGTGAAAGCTGCTCCCTGCCTAGCTGTTAGCATGTGCAGGACAAGTTGGTCAATCCATATTTCGCTGGGCATCCTTCCCTGGCTCTAGGGAGAGAACAGATTGTGCCTCAGATGTATGGTGGGCAGGGAGTGAGGAAGCCTGTAGGGGGCGTGTCTGAGGTAAGGGGGGGGACGTACCGGGGCAGAGATGCCCCAGGGAGCATGCGCCAATATAGACAATCCTATTGGTTAAGGAGGTCACATGGTTCTGGGAGATAAAAGGGAGCGCGGATTTCAAATAAAGCCTCTTTGGTTACCATCTCACAAGGAGTGGACTGCATTTCTTTATCATATAAAGGCCAGCTACACGTGCTCGCTACACGTGGCGCATCGAACAGGGACCAGAACCTATATTAGGTTAGTATAGCTTAGCCTGCATCAGGAAATAGATCGGTAAACCCCGGGTATCGCCTCAATTTTATGCAGGTGGGGTTTTTTCAACCCAAAAAGCCTAAGACGTCTATAATCGTTGCCTCGGGGGCGTCCGAAGAACGAGAGTTAGTTTAGTGAGCTCAAAAAATAATAGGGAAAAGTGCACTGGAACAAAGAAGAAAGAAGAACAAGCCGACAGACTGGAGCGGCGGGCAACCGGAGAGAGCGGAGAGGGTCCAACGCCACACCGAAGCGGTGAGTCAAGCTGAGAGGCAGCCCCAACATCTAATACGCGGCAAGGACGCTTCCCTAAGCGGCACCGTGTCCGCAGCTCAGAAACCCGGGCCGCGGAGCACGCTAAAACCGCCGGGACACCCCCCTGCCGCCCCGCCGCCGCCGAGCCAGCCGCGCAGAACCGGCCCCACCGCTGCCCGTACCACCCCAGCCCCACCGCACGACCCCCGCGCCGGCTTTCTGCCCAGCAGAAGCGCCGCAGCTCCGCGCAGTCGGCTGCCGCCATCCCCCCCCGCGCACGCCACTAGCGACTGCCACCGGCTGCGGGACCGGCGCCTAGCGCCTGTTGCCTAGCAACCCGGCAAAAGCCGCGGTTTGCAAGAGCCGAGGAATCGACCGAGCCACGCTCGTGCGCTGGCCGCCCCCCCCACCGCCGCCGGGACTACTCGCCGAACGGAGCCCAGCGCCGCCTTACCATCGCCCGCGTTCGCCCGCTGCCCCTGCCAACCCCGCGCTGCGCTCAAAAGCCACGCGGAACTGGCAGAAGCTGCGCCGCGACCCCACCGGACCCCCTGCAGCGCCCAGCGCACCGGAGGAGCCTCGCAGCCACCTCCTGCCGACCCACGCATGCCGATAGCCACTGTGTGAAGCTTCCACGCCAAGGAGAAACCCACCAGAGACACGCCAGACCCGGAAGGAACCCTTCGCCGCTTCTCCGCCGCTGCCGCCGCACGAGCCGCCACCGCCCGCGCCGAGAAGCAGCCCCGCGCCGCCGCTGGAGCCACCCCGGACCCCGCGCCGCGTAGAGGGACCCCCCTGCCGCCGTCTGTAGCCGTACCGCACCCGCCGCCGCCGCCGGAGACACCCCCGGACCCCGTGCCGCATCGAGGGACACCTCGCCGCTGCACCCAAGCCCCGGGGACCCGCGCGGACCCCGCAGAGACACCGAGAGAAAAAAAAACCGCAGAGAAACAACCGTCCGAGAAACCGAAAGTAAAACTCAGCAGCCGAAACAAAGAACTAGCCACGAGTACCTGCAGCCCGGGACTAAGGTAAACAGAGGAGATCTTGTCTCCATGGAAACCTCACAACACGTTGAAACATCATTGCTACACAGCCCCTAACAGTAACGTTACAAATAAATACATAAGAAAGACTGGGACACATTCTGAGCCACAGCACACAAGCGAACGAAACAATTAACCCACACTCCCCCCCCACACACACGGCTAGCAGCAGCACAGCCCATAGGCATGAAGGGGGGAGGGAAAGGAGCAGTTTGTGAGTTAAAGTTCGTCTCGGGAGCCGAGAGCCAAGGGGACGCAGCTCGCTGGGAGGGAACAGAGCCAGAAATGCGAGATCCCACCCCATGGGGTCAACGCAGGAGGCTCTGTTACAGTAAAGAGGGGGGTAACCCAGCATACTTACCACCCCACGCTGTGGATGACCAGCCACCGCGTGCCCCAGCGTGGCAGCCGCCACATGGCCCGGGAACTAACCCATCTCTTCCGGCCCCAGCGCTGCCCCGCCCCACCCATAGGCACGAGGGGGGAGGTAGCCCCGCCCCCTCACCGCCTTCACCACCCACCACCACCCCCCCACAGGGAACCGGGCTTGCTGGGACCACAGCGGGGGAGGCATGGGGGGATGAGGAGGAGGGAGCCGGGATGGTTTCACCGGGAGGGACCGAGGAGGCAAACGGGGGAAGGTCAGATAACATGTCGAAACAATGTCGGGACAAGGCATTTCGAGTGAGTGGCTTGAAGGATATTCAGGCATGCTCAAGTGAATTCAGCCAAGGTCAGCCCCCTCAATTCCAGCCTCTGTTACATGAGGCTACAGAGAAATTGAGGCAGTCGGTAAGAGGTGCTGGCATGTCCTTAACCAATAACCTTAAGTATTTAGAGACATTGAGTTCCATCTATTTTTTCACCCCACATGACTGGAAAGATCTAATGAAATGAGTTCTTAATAACACCCAATATACAGTCTGGTTATCTGACTTTTGGGAGAATTGTGCCAAATATGCAGCTAACACCCAAGCAGGCATAACAACAAACCAATTAACCGGGGAAGGAAGTAACAACACGGTAGATGCCCAATCAACCTACCCCCAAGAAGTATACAAAATAATAGCCAAACAGGCCCTGAAAACCATGAGAAAGCTTCTCACTGCAGACCAAAACAGCAACCTGTCCTGCACAAAAATGTCACAAAGTTGTACTGAACCAAATCCACAATATTTAAATCGGCTGCAGTCTGCTTTAAACAAGCAAGTTGAATACAATAAAGCCAGAGAGATGCTGTATAAGCAATTAGCTTTTGAAAAGGCGAACACAGGCTGTGAAAGAGCTTTGCAGGCCCTTCCTGAAAGGGAAGGCTACAGCATTGCTGAGCTAGTTCGACCCTACCAAAGAGTTGTCTCTGTGGAGCACCAGTCTGCCTCTATAGCTGCAGCCCTAAATGCCCAGCTAGGAGTACAAGAAGAGGCCAGACATAGGGCAAGTTGTGTTGGATGTGGTAACACTGACCACTTTCAAAGGGACTGCCCTTGGAGACCCTTAGCAGCAACATCTCACAAGTACCTGAACAGCAGGAAATGGGCTAGATTGTACCAAGGGTGCTGTGGGCGGGGCAGGGGTCTCGCCATAAGCATCGCACTGCTTGCTGCTGTGCTACTTGCCATCCTCTTCTTTGCCATCAGCTTTCATGAGCAAGAGAGGAAGCAGCTTGAAGCAAGCTGCAATGTGCCAGCAAACAGCCCCAGAAATACCCCTAAATTCTGCACCCCCAAGAAAGGTGACAAGTGGAGAATACTGCAACATTTAAAAGCAGTCATAAAGCTTACAGGAGCATTGCAGCCTGAACTGCCCTCTCCCACTATGCTCCCAGCAAATTGGCCATTAGTGGTAATTGATTTAAAAAACTGTTTCTTTACCATCTGCCTACACTCTGAGGATGTGCCAAGGCTTGCTTTTCCCATCATGGCCTTGAACAATGCACAACCCATGCAAAGCTATTGCTGGGTTGTCCTTCCTCAGGGGATGCAAAATAGCCCGACGAGGTATCAAACAACCACGATACACCATTATACAGATGACATACTAATAAGCACAGCCACAGGAAATGAACTGCCATTTACTCTTACTGCTCTAATCAAAGCTGTCCAAGATGCAGGGTTACAGGTTGCTCCAGAGAAAATCCAGCAATCACAGTCCTGGACATACCTTGGACAGAAAATCGCACAGCAAGAAAGTTCTCCACAGCTACTGCAGCTTGAGGTAAAAAACACTTTATATTTACATGAATTGCAAAAGCTTCAGGGGACCATAATTGGTTAAGGCCTATTTTAGGCATAACCACACAGGAGCTACACCCTCTGTTTGAGCTGCTAAAGGGAAACTCCAACCTAACATCTAACAGGTCTCTGACAGCAGAGGCCAAGCAGGTGTTAGACATTCGTGCCAAGGCAATAGAGGGCAGACAAGGCAGAAGGAGAGATCCTGAACTGCAAATCTGCCTGGCCTTCGTCCCCAGCAGGTACCAGCCATTTGCAGTTTTGTTTCAATGGGATCAGACTGAGAAAGACCTACTGCAAACTCTACAGTGGCTATTTTTGCCCCACACACCACCTAAAACTGTGTGGACTACTAATGAGATGTGTACAAAGCTTGTCATTAAAGGCAGAGGACGACTGCAAGAACTAGACGGAAAGGATTCTGCCATCATATACATTCCAGCTACGAAGGACAACTTGGATTGGAGGCTAGCTGAGGACGCAGGATTCCAGGCTGCCTTGACAGGCTTTCACGGTGACATTTCCATTCATCTCTCCAAACACAGGTTGTGGGCAGAAATCGGTAGTTTACCTTTAAAAACCACAACCAGATGCAAAAAGGAACCAGTGAAAGGCCTCAGGGCCTTCACAGATGCATCTGGGAAAAACACAAAAAGCTGCAGTGACTTGGGTAATATCCTGCTACAGAACAATGGGAACGAAAGGTACGGACCATGAACCAGGGTTCTGTACAGGTTCTGGAACTGGCTGCCATTCGTATTGCCTTGGGGAAATTTTCTGAACAACCTTTTAATGTTGTAACTGATTCTTGTTATACTGCAAAGTTAGTATCCCATCTCGAGAGTTTGTTTCTTTGAGATATCGTTAACCTTCACCTGTTATTTGAAATGCGTTCTGTTTGGTTTCTTGTTAATTGTAGAAAGTTTTGATTTCTATGTAATGCACACAAGGTCACACACTGACATGCCAGGGCCAATAAATGACAAGAACTGAGAAGCTGACAAAGCAGCAATGGTTAAGACCATACCTAAAGTCTTAGAGCAAGTGATGCCAATTTCTGCCCCCAAGAAGGCGCGGAGAGACTGCTCAGAGACAAAGTTTTAGTCTATAAGCAGGAGGTATTTATTTTCACGGCTGGGGAGCAGCCCAGGTCGCCCTGGACCAACTACTCCACCTGAAACGTGCACAATCGAACTTTTTATACACTTTTTGCTAAGCAATTACATCACATATTATGAATATTCATTACATTGCAACATCTACTTTTAATATTCATAACAGGTGGAGTTGAGGCGGAGTTAGAGGCGTGGTCCTCAATTTGGGGAGAACTTCGGTGGTAGTTCCGGTGTTTCTTCATCATGAATCCCTGTCCTCTTCATCATCATCCTCCTAAACTTTTGAACCTTACCTAATTTGGGTAGTTTCCTTATGTATTTGGCAGGGATTTTCAATATCTGGCACAAGTACTTCATTTCTTGGCTAGTCCCTCTTCTTATCTCTCTTTGTTTCCTCCCCATATGCCTCCCTTTGTGTGTGCTAGCATTTTCTCTTCATGTTTATGTTCTTCTGTGTCAGAGTGTCCTGTATCCTAGTGAATTTATTGTCTCCGCTTTCCTAATGCTGAATTCTATGTGCCTTGCTTAAAGCCTGCATTCATCTGTGCTTAACTCTTTATAGTACTTAAATTCACTTTTCAGGTGTTACCTGGCTTCATTCCCCCCCTTTTCTAAAACTTACGAATTCCTTCGTCAAGTTCTAATCTTAAAGGGCACTGATATGCTTTTATCATTGCCCAAATTATTTGGGTTCTTTTAACCATGGTCCTTAACTTACACCACAGGCATATATTCATGAGGTTAATTCCTTCGTCAAGTTCTAATCTTAAAGGGCACTGATATGCTTTTATCATTGCCCAAATTATTTGGGTTCTTTTAACCATGGTCCTTAACTTACACCACAGGCATATATTCATGAGGATTAATAGGAGTGAGACCCCTGGTGGCCTAGTGGTTAGCATGCAGGACTTTCACTGCTGCGACCACGGGTTCAAATCCCGGTCTCCTGGCCTGATGGAGGTCGTTAGCCCTGTGTGGCCATCCATCTATGAGAAGGACACTCTAAACAAACCTACGTCCTGAGGACCTCACTGCCATTGTCCAAGCTTGCTTGGCCCCGGCAGATGAACCTTAGGATTAAAGGGTGGGCTCAGTTCAGCGCAGGCTGTGTCTCACCTAAAAAATCCATTGCGCAGGCTGGAAAGGTAAAAGACCTTTCCCCAAATCTTCGTTCGCGAAGATGGGCCATTATTATTATATAATAGGAGTATGGCTATAACTATAATTAATATGGGGTGTACCAGGTAGTGAAAAACTTGTGTTGCTGTTGGAGAGTATCCCATGAAGATGTCCCACCAGTGATGTTGACCTACTTGTGCAACTTTCGTCAAGATACTCTTTATACCTTCTGAATTATGTTCTACTTGCCACAACATGCGTCGAGTCGTTTGATTTACCCTTTGAACAAATTTTTCTATTTCAGGATGCACAAACATTTCTTTGAGAAGCTTAGTATCCATGCCTATCTGTAGTTTGGGTATCTCATGATATAGAGTATACTCAGCTTCAATTAATTGCTGTGTAGTTATAGGAGCAGTGTAGCTAAAGTCACAACCTACTACTTTTGTGAAATTACATATGCAAAAATTAGTACCGTTAGTCACTTCAGGACAATTATCTATAGTAACGTCATTGCAAGCGGTTCTAATACAAGCGCATCCATTTCCTATATAGAATACTTGTGATCGTGCTCTATTGTGCGGAAGCATTTCAAAAGTACATACGCTATCTTCAGCATCTAGGCATAAGTCTTCAGCCTCTATAATGGCATTTTTGCAAATATAACCTAATTGCCCTTTAGGAATACATGCTTCTGTGCTAATTGATTGCCACTTGTTCTTAGTGTTGTCATAATTTGCCCATACGTTATGGTCTACAGGTTTGACAACGACATTCTGGTGTATAGTTCCTAATGTCAGAATGGGGAATATAGTTCTCTCTTCTGCAGCACTGATAGTGAGGACATAGACCTCAACATGTTCTTGTTGTGGATCATAAGTAAAATTGACTAGTTGCCACCAAGCTTGGTGGTCCCTTTCAAATTGTGTAGTGGAGCCACCTCTTAATATCATTTCCCTTATTTCTTGAGGTAGTATACCTGACATTCCTTCTCTCAAAATTCCTGCTGCTACTGACTGTACCCCTTGTTGCGTCTGAACGCACTGGATAGCAAGTGCAATTTCTTTGCTAATATCCCCAGCATAATCAGCAATTTTAACAAAATCTTCAGTGGTGTGGCTGGCTACTAGAGTCATCAATTTAACTACTAATGATTGTGTTTCTGCTAAGGTTAGCATAGATGAGCTTAAAGGTACTTTAAGCTTTCCTAAATTAGAAGTGACGGTACTTAACTTATTTACTAACACTTCTTGATCTATCGTGTTTAGTATGCCGAATCCTGTGCCAACCCATCCACCTATATCCCTTTGTGTTCGTTTACGGTATGACCTGGTCGCTAACCAAGCATTCCAGCCTTTGAGGCTTTGCTGTACAAACGGCTGACAATCTCCCTGTAAATGTGTAATGTCTGTCTGAATGTTCATCTGTATTTTCTTCAGAGAATATGTAGGATCTAACAACAACTTTAGTTCGTTTGACTGTCTTATTACTTGAGGTCCTATAAAGGTAAAATTATGTACTCTTTTACATTCTACAGGTGGAGTAATTTCACGCGATGGGTTCGCAATTGGATCTGTCATTAATATGATCCTTCCAGAGCCTTGGGCTATATTAACACCTTCTTCAGGAATGGGTTTAGAGTACTTGATATCTCTATCACACTCGAATTGCATTGTTTGATCTAGCTCAAATAGAATCTCACATTGTGCCCTTCCCCCTTCAAAACTGTCCCATTGGCATGAAACTGGTTCTCTCCGTTGAATCCAAATAATGGGCTTGCCACTCTTCACCTGGCTATAAGTGATCAGCCCATTCGGTCTATGGTCAGACCCATATGGTCTAGATTTAACCGTCAGTGTTAGTCTATCTGTTGTTCCTATCAGGGTTTCAACCTCTCGGCATCCTATTTGAATATGGTCACCTTTCTGTGGTGTGAAATAATCTCTGCTGTGCCATTCTAGCGTGTAAGGTTGTTTGTTACATAATGCATATATCTCAAAGTATGGATTTTCTTCTAAGGGTGGTCGTTTGTATGCACTAGACCATGGTCCTTCTGAAGTAGAGTTTTGGGATAGAACAATACTTATCAAAAGTCCAATGGTCAGGGTTGAAACGGTTCGGAAGGGCGTCGGACTCATGATGTCGGGTCTTCTTGCTTATCCTCTGGAGCTTTCTTGACCCGAGAGTAGTGAATCCATGTAGGTCACTCCTTGATCCTAACCATGGTGAAGGTGGTCAGCAGCACTCGGAAAGGTCCCTCCCACTTTTCTTGTAAGGGTTTTCCTAAAAGATTCTTAACATACACCCAATCACTTGGGTTAAATGGATGCAATTTACAGTCAGGTTGCTTGGGCTGGTGTTCTATTACTACTGTGGCATTCTTATCAAAATGTTTTCCTACAGCGATTACATAGTCATATATATATTGATTACCTATTTGGTCTACAGCATCACTATTTACAATCTGCATAGCATAAGGTCTTCCATACAGGATTTCAAATGGGCTCAATTTCTCTTTTGATCGAGGTTTGACTCTCAACCTAATCAGAGCAATAGGCAGAGCTTGGTACCATTGTAAGTTAGTTTCTTGGCATATTTTAGCAATTTGTTGTTTGATAAGATGATTCATCTTTTCTACTTGCCCACTGGCTTGTGGCCTGTAGGGCGTATGCAATTGCCGTCTAATTTGCAATGCTTTGCTTATTGCTCTTACAACTTTTGCACAAAAATGCGAACCTCTGTCTGAGGATATACTCCTTGGTACTCCAAACCGTGGTATAATTTCATTTAATAAGACTTTAGTTACCTCCCTCTCTTTATTTGTTCTGCAGGGAAACGCTTCAGGCCACCCAGAAAATGTATCAGTTAGTACCAATAGGTACTTATACCCCCCTTTTCTTGGGAGTTCAGAGAAATCAATTTGCCATACTTCACCTGGGAATTTACCTCGATTTATTGCTCCTTGATGTATCTTGGTCCCTGTATTTGGGTTATTCTTCAGGCATCGTTCGCATTGAGATGTAACCTGTTTTATGGTAGTGAATAGTTTTGGTCCTGCTATCCTAGCTTGTAAATACTGGTAAAGTGGATCTAAACTCCAATGCGCTTTCTCATGTTCTGTCTTTACAAATTGCCACATTAATTTCCCTGGTATTATTAGTTGTCCTGTTTCTAACTGACCCCATCCATTATCTAACAATTTGCCTTTGTTCTTTTGAATCCACCTATGATCTGAGTCTTGATAATCTGGTTGAAAGTTAGTATCTAGTTCCCCAGGTACTAGAGCTGTTATAACCGCTTCCTCGGTTCTTGCAGCAGCTAATTTAGCTTCTGCATCAGCTTTCCTATTTCCTATCTCTGGAACAGTGTTACCTTTCAGGTGTCCTTTGCAATGCATTATGGCCACTTGTGCTGGGAGTTGGACTGCTTCTAACAATTGTAGAATTTCTTCTGCATGTTTGACCATTTTCCCTTGAGCAGTTAGCAGTCCTCTTTCTTTCCAAATTGCTCCGTGAGCATGCACGACGGAGAAGGCATACTTAGAGTCTGTCCAAATATTAATTCGTATGCCTTCTGCCAATTCCAGAGCTCGGGTAAGGGCTATTAGTTCTGCCCTTTGGGCTGAGGTCCCTGCAGGTAAAGGATTTGACTCGATTACCTCTTCCGTTGTAGTCACTGCATAGCCTGCCATCCTTACTCCTTGCTTCACGAAGCTACTGCCGTCAGAAAACCAGTTGTCTGCATCTTCAAACGGCTCTTCTTTGAGATCCGGGCGGCTGGAGTAGACAGCTTTGATGGTTTCCAGACAGTCATGCTCAATTGGCTCTGCTGATATTCTTCCTTCTAAAAATGAAGCTGGATTCACAACATTAGTCACTTGAATGGTTATGTCGTCTGACTCAGCTAGGATTGCTTGGTACTTTAGGAATCTGGAAGGCGACAACCAATGGCCACCCTTTTGTTCTAGTACAGCGGACACAGTATGGGACACTAACACCGTCATTTTCTGGCCCATTGTGAGCTTTCTGGCCTCTTCTATGTTTATGATCACTGCGGCCACCGCTTTCAGACAGCTGAGCCATCCTTTGCTTACTTCATTCAGCTGTTTGGAGAAATAAGCCACGGCTCTTTTGTGTGGTCCCAACTGTTGCGCTAAGACTCCTAAAACCATCCCTTGCCATTCATGAGAGAACAGCCAAAATGGTTTTGTTACATCAGGGAGGCCCAAAGCCGGGGCTCTCATGAGTTCTTGTTTCAGTCTCTTAAAAGCTCCCTCTGCTTCGGGAGTCCAGACCAGGATATTCTTTGCTTCTTTTAATCGTACAATGGTTTAGCGAGTACCCCGTATTGATAGATCCATAAACGGCACCAACCTGTCATCCCCAGAAAGGCTCGTAGATCTCTCACCGTCTCTGGTTTGGGCATCTGGCAAATGGCTTCTTTCCTTGCTGTTCCTAGGGATCGCTGTCCTCTGGAGATCTCGTATCCTAGGTATACTACTTTTTCTTGTACTAGTTGCGCTTTCTATTGAGAAACTCGATATCCGCTTAACCCCAAGAAATTCAACAGAGAAATAGTCCATTTAACACACTCTTCTTCTGACTCAGTTGCTATT